TGTAAAATGTAAATAGAAAGTGAAGACCAGTTGAACAAACTTGCCTTTTTAGAAGATATCACTGAAATGTCCTAACTTATTGGTTGTGGAACATATTGTTGTGAACAATTGTTTTTGGGTATGGCAAATATGAAATCTGACGATAAAGTAGATTTAATGTTGCCCATTTAAAATATGATTAAAATTAAGACTAGTATCAAAACAAAAATTGAACATATTATAAAAGAAAAACAATATTGAAAACTACATTGAATTAATTTTTATTATTTTGTTCTTTTTTGCTGTCAACAATACATAATTTTTGTTATTATTAATATGTAAGTGTTGCACATATGTTTAGTAAAATTGTATTTTCACAGCGTTCAAAAAACATTGAAAGCATACACTAAACATTTCTAATGTGGCCCATTAGGATAAAAGGATGGGTAACCCTGATTAAGGTAATAAGGAAAAAGAAACAAGAGAAATTTTCGTAGTATTATGTAACAATATCTACTCCTGAACGACTTATATATTTAATTAATTATAGAATGCCTTATCTAAAACTGAAGTGATAGACGACTGCGAATCGAAATTTCTCAGTAGTACTAGTTATTTGTGTGTCTCCGAGACCGAAAGAGTGGAGTGGTGGTAGGGGGAGGGGAGGTACATGTCGTCAGTCCCTATCCGGAACCTATTTTCCAAATCGGCGAAAGTTTTAAGTCTTGGTTCGCGAATGGAAAGGCGCTCACAGACGGGCGCGGGAGATCCGCAGCGGGTGCGGCGCGGAACGCTTCGCGCTAGACGCGGCGGCGGAATCCACGGGACCGTTTACACCGGAGCGGCAATTATGACTCGGCGTTGGGTGACGGTTTTCCTCCTCCGATAAACAAAAGCAAGGGGCGCGAAGACTCTCGAAGGAGGGGGGGGGGCGGACTTCCACGAAACTCGAGCGGCTGCGGTCGAATCGCGTCCGACTGCGTTCCCAAATCCGCAGGTAGGAAAATTCTGCCGCGACGCTCGCCTTGCCGCGCAGGTCTTAAAGTGCTCATAACGCAAAACGTGACGCTAGAGATTTGTGTGGCTCCCGGTGACTTCTACATTTTGAAAGATTAATTTATTGTTCGCATTGAACCATCAAATCCATAATATTAATTGCGCTCATTGATTTGAATACATTTTTATGTACATATTCCCCATTGAGCGATGTGTGGTCTTGGTGTTCGCATAGCACTCTACTGGGTGAAAATCGCGGCCACGTCTGCCGAAAGCGCAGCTGGAAGGCGCCGACTTAACGTGATGTCAGCACGGAAACTTGTGACTTGGCATTTAAAGAACTGAACTCCTTGAAAATGAAAATTTAGATTTGTTATTGTTTATTCGTGAACAACCAACATATGTCCAATTTAATTCTTAATTAATACCTGTCGAAAATGTCAAATAAAAGCAGTGACTGTATTTCAACATAAATATTTTATTCTGATGATCTTACCATGTATACTGGATATGGGACTGACCATTCAGTCAATACTGAAAGTCGTTTTCGAGAATTCTTATCTGTTCCATCACTTCCGGGTTTGGAGAGAACTTTTCCTTCTTTCTCAATACGAATACTGTTAAGAGTTAACGTTTACACCTAAAATGCTGATAGTGACTATCTGCTGGTGATTGATTCTATGCTTCATCAATGGGATAGTGAAGATTGAACGGATGATGTCTCAACGTAGAGAGAAATTCTTTGGTATTTCTAGACTTCGAAGAAAGAAGATGGAATTGTTCGTTACGAATTTGGAAGTGTTGAAGACAAATAATGGATTTTATTTGTATCGAAATGGAACTGGAGTCATAGTTTTAAAATTTTCGGACTTTGGAAAGAATGATTATCTCTTGAAAATTAAGTAATTTATCTAGATGACAGCTACTACATCTGAAATGTCGCAGAATAATCGAACAATTTTTCAGTTATAATTTTTAGTGAGTTTTGAATAATTTTCTCTATCACTTACTTCCTATATTATTTTTTTTATGTCAATCTACCTTCAACATTTCTTCGTCCATTTTGGCGTCAGTATATACATTAAATAGAAGTCTACTAAAACTTCACATGACCTTACTGTCACTTAACCAATTAAATGATATTCCATTTCTTTGGTGTGCGCAAGCTTACAGTTATTTTATATTATGGAGTGTTCTTGAGTTTCGGTCACTAAAAAATCATCAATAAATTGCCAATGTTTCGGCTTTTACTACGCCTTCTTCAGGGCTACAAACATGATTTTTTTATACACTATGTTCAATCGTCTAATACTAGCCTACAGACGATTGCTCACAGTGAATAAAAATCCATTTGTTTGTAGATCTGATGAAGGCTTAATAAATGCCGAGATGTAGGCATTTTAATGATATTTTTTACTGACCGAAACTCAAGGACATTCTATTTTATAAATCAAGGCAGTCAACAAATCATTCACGTGATTACAATTATTGTCAGTACTATTATCTTTGGTGTGCTACGTTTTAATGACACGCTATTTTTTAAAAACATTACATCTTATCTTTGGTTTGATCAGTTAAATATTTTAACTCCATCGTTTTTTGCCAAGTTTTGTATAAACTACAGAGAAAATACTGAGACTGTCTTTTGTTTTCTTCCCTGGCAATAAATTTAGCATTTATCTTGTCTAAATATCTAGTAGTATCCATTGTTCTTGTTACAAGTAATGTAATTTCCCATTGTAAACTTAATTTGCTATTGTGTAATGCACTATTAATGGTAGCGAGTGTTTGCTTGTAACAAGAATATTGCATAATACTGATATTAAACAAAGTTGGAAATGATGAGTGCTTATCTAATGAAACCTGAGTTAGATTGTGAACGAGCTTAAATATAGTGATTGTCATAAATTTGACTTTGGAGAAAGTAGCCCGACGCGATCGAATCTCCTCGCACTCTCCTCTGAT